TCAGCTTGGCTCCACCTTTTGCTATATAATTCCTAGGTCCTTCCCCCAAACCTCACAACCCTGCCGGAGAATAATGAAAAAAATAAAAAACAAAAACATGACAGTCAATGTGACAATCTATTTGTGGTAGGTCTTCACTACAAGAGCATCATTTGGGAAGAGTCACTTAACTAACTACCCTGCATATGCTATAACTTTTTTAATCACAAATAACCATGTTGATAATTGTGTTATTTTAAATCATAACGGAACTCTCATTCATGCTTTTGTAATCATGTTTTAACATGCACAGTGAGTACCTGAATTGGTTTAGGTCAGTGTAGTGCTATGTTTTGTAGCAGAATGTTGGAAGAATTTTTTTTTTGGTGGGGGGGGGGGGATAATCTAGGTCCAATATGCATTTTGGAATCCATAACCGCCTATTAAGCCTATAAGTAATGGCTCATCCATTGTATATTAGAACATTTTACTTTTTTTCTATGCAATGTGAGCCCAACAATCTCCACTCATGTGTGAACTACATCGGCTTAGCTCCCCTTTGAGTCTCATCCACTGCTTTCGACATGCACTGCATCCAACCACTGTTTATAAGAACCAAGTTTTTTTACCACTCTACCCAAGAACACTTGGGCCTGGCAGTGCCCTACTCTTTTTTTTTTTTTTTTTTCCGAGTTGCATTTCCATGACTTCAATACCAAGAGTCCAACTCTTTTCTTAGTATGCTACACTTCTTCCAGAGTTCACCCTAGATCGTCAAAATCGGCTCTAATACCACATTGTTAGAAGATAGGGAGTCTAGTGATCCAAGGCTCAATATGCATGTCTGGAACCTATACCCACTTAAAAACTTAAGCCTATAGATATGGGTCCATTCATAATATATTAAGACACTTCTACTTCTTTTTTCTATTCGCTGTGGGGGATTCCCACACATATAAAATACCCGACAAGGAATGTGTATTGTTTTGTTTAATTGTGAAAAATGGTATGTGTGTGTGTGTGTCTTCTCCACCTCTTTCATTTCTAACATTTTGCTTAAAGCTTGGGAAACAACATATTTAAGTCACATGACATAATGGGTGATGATGGATGGTTATAAGCTAAATCTTTACAGATTAGATGACTCCCATTCTGAAGGTTGAGGACTTGGCTATACAAAGTTCATGCTTCTTAGTGGGGCTTTGAGGGTTTCAATATTTATCATCTTTTGATTTTAACAAAACAATATGTGTCTGTTCACATGTGATTTATTTGATGTCCTATCCGTAATTGATCTCAAGTGTCCCACATCGGTCGAATATGAGCTTGACTATGTATATGATTCCTTAGGTATCCTTCCCTTGCAAGTTGGTTTCCAAGGGTGACTCACATTTAGGATCACTGCTCATTCTTAATTTTGCGACTTCTTTATCTATTTAGATGTTTGATTTCATTTTCTGTGTCTAGTTGGCAGGTTGGTAATAGTTCAGAGTGGTCATTGAGAAGATGTCTTCTCCAAGCAAGAGGAGAGATATGGATGTCATGAAATTGTAATGGTCTTGAGTGATGTTTTTCATCATTGTCCGTCTTACTGCTTTCTTACGACTGACCTTTTGTGTTCATGTGTAGGATGATGAGTGACTATGCTGTGGAGCCAATTAATGATGGAATTAATGAATTCAATGTGGAATTCCATGGTCCAAAAGAAAGTAATGTTGCCTTGCCTCTTTATGTGAATATTGTGATGAAAGGATATTGTGATTGTCTGTAATAACATCTCTCTATTTTATAGAAACTTAATATGGCTTCTGATATAAGTTTATCTTCTTGATTTCATCTCTGGTTGCAGGCCTATATGAAGGTGGTGTCTGGAAAGTTCATGTGGAGTTGCCGGATGCTTATCCTTACAAGTCTCCTTATATTGGGTTTCTCAACAAAATATATCACCCAAATGTAGATGAGCTGTGAGTTCGTATATACTTTGATGTAGCATTTCTCAGCTACTTCATCAGATTGGAAGTCACTGATACAGAATCTTGTCACTAATATATCAAAAAGCATTACACTCCTTAGCTTGCTTGGACTGTCAAGCTATGATGATCGACCTCTAGGCAGTTTGTTCCAGGAGTTCTTTTTTTCGTTTTCTATCTTTCATTTTTGTTAAATTGCATAACTGTCTTGCTTGTATATGTTTGATAGTATTGGAGAGTGGAGCACCTTCTGTTGTCATTTTACTGAAGTGTCTTTGTTTGTAAGATGTATGTGATATCCTCATTGTATCTCTGTGGTCAACTGCAGGTCTGGCTCTGTATGCTTGGATGTCATTAACCAATCATGGAGTCCAATGTTTGGTAATTACAACTGTTCTAGCAACAGAACTCTTTTTGGTTTTTTTTCTTTATTGTCTTTGGATGGGAAACTTATAAATTAATATATCTTCAAGTGTACATGAAATTTCTCAATTAAGAAGAAAGGGTGTAAGAAATGCACACCCTCTTTTAACTCAGAGTCTCAGACACACAAGAAAGGAATGTGTATATGGTGGTAGTAGTGGTAGCATAAATTGCAAGTCGATAATTGTAAAGTAAAAATTGCCATTACTTTGTATGCATGGGAAATATATGCATATTTGATTGTGTTTTGGGCAACTGACGTGACGTGACATAGTTCTTGGGGCTTACAAATCAGCATGTCTGTGGTATTAAAATTTCATATTCAGATGGGAACAACTTGCATTGGGTATTTACGAGCAATGGATTCAATTTAAGGACCAAACAGAGACATGTGACGCAGCAAAATTTCAATGTGTGAAACTCACTATAAGATGAGCCCAGGGGATAGGAGACAGAACTATGAGTGGAAAAAAGAAAGGGAAAAGCTCTTGTATTAAATGATATTTAGCACACTTTGATTGGAATTCCTAAAATGATTTTTTGTCAAGTGCCTAGCCCTTGTTGGAATCTGTTCTTTCTGTGCTCCTAAGAAGTGGACTATAAGGCCGGGGTAAATGTCATTAATCCTGTGCTTGCATGTGTACTTGTTTGTCATTAAAGGTGTTACACTATCTGAGCAAGAGTATTCTGGGATGCAGATCTTTTGAATGTATTTGAGGTTTTCCTTCCACAGCTTTTGCTTTACCCAAATCCTTCAGATCCATTAAATGGAGATGCAGCATCACTAATGATGAAGGATCAGAAGCAATATGAACAAAAAGTGAAAGGTGAAATTCCTTTTGTTTCATATACTGTAGCTTTTTTATCGTCCTTAATACTGTGAGGCTTTCTATGATTTTTTTTAGAGAATTCATTTCTCATTGTTTAATTCATTGTACACTTATCTTTCAATGATGCAGAGTATTGTGAGCGTTATGCCAAGAGGGAGAATATTAGAAGCACCCCGAGTGAAGAGAGTGACGAGGAGGTCAGTGATGAAGACGTCAGTGATGGAAGAATTTCATCTAGTGATGATGATGTTGCTGGACATGCAGATCCATGAGAGGATGATTTGCCTTCCACATTGATATGGAAAAAGCATTTTATTTTAGCTGTTCATTTTTTATACTTATCTGTTTAACTTAGTTGCTTGTAACATTAGGCATTCAGAGGCAAGAAATATGATTCACTAAGGACTGGATCAAGTGACTTAGTAGCTAGATTTATGGTACTAGGCATGTGTAAGGAATTTATAGTTCATGGTTGATTATTCATTCACAAGAATGAAATGAAGATATGGTTCATATTCATTTCCTTGTTCCTTTTTTTTGTTTGTTATGTTATATTAGTTGTACTAGGGGTTACTCGTGCTTAAAGGTACGGTACAAATGTAAATGATTTTGAGAGAGATGTTAATGGCCGTTAAATGAGTCTATTTTAAACTGTCAGATGAGTTTATTGAAACATGTTATGTTTTATTTTATATTATAGATGTCAAATAGTATCCGGTTTAAATGGGCTTCATTATAACAATACGACCTGATATCACTGGCTTATTCTTAGACGTACTTGTGGTTAATACTGCTATTTTACAATTTATCAGATCTCTGACAAGAAGCAATCTGCAAGCAGTAAAATTTTGGAATAGTCCCGACTCGACCTTACTCATGTTCTGCTGATAGTTTTTGAGATTGGTGCGGGATAGGATGCTTGTGAACATTAAAGATGAGATTCGTTTTGAAAATGTGGAAACATTTACGTCGATTTCACATTTTTAGTGGTCGGTTTGTCGCATGCTTAGTTTTTTGTAGAAGGTGATGATAAAGGGCAGTGCAACCAGCTGCCCTCGAAGACTGTTTTCCGAAGTTTTGATGGGGCATGGTATAATAATTTAGCAAGCTTTGAAAGCCATTGAAGATGAAGGGTGAATTCTTTGTCACTTGAACAGTTGCAGCAGGACACAGAAAGGGACGAATGAAAGTGGGAGGTTTAGCAGTTGGCATCTAAGCTTTGTAAATTCTAGTCGAACAGTTGGCATCCATGATAAATAATAAAGCCAAAGAGAGGTTTGATGGTATCTTTTTCTTATTTTTTTTGTCTGAAATTTAATCTCTATATTAGATACGATTCGCTCCAACCCTATCATCAGTGAGTATTCCAACTCATACACTCTGCAGAATCTTAAATGGTGAACTTCGTTAATAGTTATTGTCAGACAGAAACAGCATCATCTGCATGACGTAGTCCTAGATGCCTGAATAATCCCATTGAGGAGGACATGACAACCCCGTTTCAACCCTTCCTAGTGTCGCCAGCGCCTATTATTTGATTATTAATTTGATCTAAGATCGCTTATTTCTCGATTCTATCGTGGCAAACAAAGGCTTGTGAATACAAAGTTTCATTGTAATATACGCCAATTGCTATTACAACTGACAGCAACTACCATCTGAAAATTCGAATTTCCTCTTCATTTAGCTATCTCCACAACAATCTAAATACATAAATTGAACTTCTATAACTTAATCAGACGAGTCAAACTGCAAACCCCCTTGCAGTAATGTCTGTAACATCCAAAATGCATCAAATTCCCTTCTGGGTATTTCTCATATCAGTCTCTCTCCTCCTACATGCAACAAAATCTGATGAAGAAGAGGCTAAACGCGCATTGCTCAATTTTTTCACAAAACTGTCAACCAATAATGGCTCCATTGATCCCACTTTAGGTTGGAATTCAACCTCTGATCCTTGCAGGGATCAGTGGAAGGGTATCATATGTGATAATCACAATCTTTCAGTAAAGAAAATCTTCCTCGATGGCTTCAATTTTTCTGGAACCTTTGATGCAAGCACTCTTTGCAACGTGCAATCTCTCGTTGCTACTCTTGGTGTCATAAGTCTCAATTACAACAATCTTCGCGGAGAGAACCTAGAGGAGATTGCAAATTGCAAACAACTCACTCGCTTTCATATAAGTAGAAACCAATTTTCCGGTAGCCTCCCCAACTCTCTATCCAGATTGAATAATCTGAAAAGACTTGAAATATCATACAATAACTTTTCAGGCAGTTTGCCTGAATTGGCTCGGATTTCAGGTTTGACAGTGTTCCTTGCTCAAAACAATGACCTCTCTGGGGCTATACCCAACTTTGATTTTGCCAATCTTGAGGAATTTGATGTCTCCTTCAACAATTTCAGCGGTCCAATTCCGCTTGGGGGAGTTAGTTTCTGGGTAAGCAGCTACATTGATAATCCTGAATTATGTGGTGATCCATTGCCAAACAGATGCCCAACACATAAACCAAAGGGTGGAGTCTCAAAGAATCAAATTCTAATGTTCTCAGGCTATTTTCTCATAGGTTTGGCTCTGTTCCTTGTCATCATTCTCAAGCTGTTTTGCAAAAAAGACGGGACAAAAGAAGAGAAGAATGATGCAGTTTACAAGGTAGCAGCACTTGATGACAGTTCTGACAATCCTAGTTTCACAACAAATGAGGATAAAATAGGTATGAGCAAATCCGAAATCTCGAATGCTTCGGCTGACAGTGGATTGGTTTCATCATCGTTGGTGGTTCTTTCAAGCCCGGAGGTGAACGGACTGAGATTCGGGAATTTGCTCAAGGCTCCTGCGGAATTGATTGGGAGAGGAAAGCATGGTAGTGTGTATAAGGTTATATGTGAGGATCAAGGGAAGCCTCTGGCTGTTAAAAGGATTAAGGATTGGACTATTTCTAGCTATGATTTCAAGCAGAGGATGAGAAGGTTAGACCAAGTGAAGCATCCAAATGTGTTGCCAGCCATGGCCTTTTATTCTTCCAGACAAGAGAAGCTTTTGGTCTATGAATATCAACAGAATGGAAGTCTCTTCAGGCTTCTCCATGGTAACTTCCATTCCATTCCATTCCCCAGTACCTCTTCTAGTCTAATTGCAGTTCATATTTTATATTGCATACTAATAGAATTATATACCAAGGGTCCAATTACGATACGAAAGAGCAATGTTTCATTAAGATATCGAAAAACTATTTTCAACGATGGATTTTGGTTTGAGTTGTTTGCAGGCGGAAACAATGAAATTAGAAGTAACAATAAAATAAGGAGATTTTATACAAGTCGCTCTTATCGGACAAAAAGAGGAGTGATACCCTTGTCTCCTTCATAAACTAGGGTAAATACAAAGCCTAGAGATGCCATTTACTGAGTTTTAGTAAATATGAGATGAAGAATAGGATTATGGTAGCGAGTTCAGTATTATCTCAAAATTTACAAGTAAATAAGGATTAATTGTAATGCATTTGAGTCAAGTTACAACTCCAACAAAGTTGAGATTAATCCTAAAATATTATAATTGATCATCAACAATTTCATTTAATCGTAATCTTACCAAATTGAATTGTAACCTCAAATTTATTATTATTATGATCTAACATTGTGTAAGGAAAAGAACTTGAGGTGTTGGGAAAAATTTCAGGAACCCAAATGAGCAAAGCCTTGGACTGGAGCAGCAGACTTGGTATTGCAGCCACCATAGCTGAGGCCTTAGCTTTTATGCATCAAGAGCTTCGTCAAGACAGGATTGCTCATGGTAACCTTAAATCCTCAAACATTTTACTAAACAACAGCATGGAGCCCTGCATCAGTGAGTATGGTCTGATGGTGGTGGAGGATCAAGACCGGTCAGTATCTGCCACTGCCAGTGTCAACAGCATTCAAGCTGCAGAAGAAAGTGCAGACACGATCTTCAAATCAGACATTTTTGGGTTTGGAGTGATTCTTCTCGAGCTACTTACAGGAAAGATGGTCCAGAACAATGGGGTGGACTTGGCTCAATGGGTTGTTTTGGTGGTGAGAGAAGAATGGACAGTGGAAGTTTTTGACAAAACACTGATTCAGGATGGTGCAAGTGAAGAGAGAATGTTGAACTTACTACGGGTTGCTATAAAATGTGTTAATCGTTCTGCAGAGTCTAGGCCTAGCATAAACCAAGCTGCTCTCATGCTCAATACTATAAAAGAAGAAGACGAGAGATCCATGGATGTTTCTGAACAATGAAGAGGAGAAAACACTTTCTTCAATGCAAAGTTTTAGAAACCACATCAAACATGCATAGACAAATCACTATCAGGTGACATTCTTGTTGAGAGAGAGAAGAGCAGTTGTGGGTGGTGGAATATAAAATAAGTCAGAAAATATTATATGTACTTAATTTAGAGACCCATTAATGTAAAGATATGTCTCTTCATTGATTATCATTGGTATGCAGAAGACATTGGAAAAACAGACCTGAGTGGCTACTGGTAAGACTTCGTTTATTTTTTAAAAAAAAACCATTACCAAATGATGGCTAGCTGTTACAAGAATTTAAAAAGTTGTATTTCATTGGATCCATCTCAACGATGGGGGGAGTAATCAACGGTCTTTAAAAGTCATTGTTGTTTCAAGACCAACCACCACCGAAATTAAAGCATCCACGATTCCACATCGTAATTAAAATATTCATAAACAAAAAATTACATATGATCTAATCCAAGAAAATTTAAACATTTGGGTTTAAAACTTTTCTTTTTTATCATTTAAATTACCTTGGGTTAAAATCATGTTAAATGGAGGGACACCAATAAATACTCGGCAAAAAAATCAAATCAAATCAAATCAAATATACAAACAAATTGGAATCATTATAATTATTTTGTATCATAGTCCTATAAATCATGAAAAATAACCTCAAAACTTTGCACTCCAATCTGTTATTTCCCATACACAGTTACAACCCCTATTTTCTCCCCTCAAAAAATGCTAGACAATTTATATTTATTAAATGAATTTAATTAAAAATAAAAGAAAAAGTACCGAACCAAAAAGTCAACCACCAGACCAGAGTCGTCGACGACCACCACAATCTCGCAATTCCTCCGCCGCAATTCTCTCCGCAGCCTAACTTAACCAGGAACGGCCATCACGTAACATTCACGTGAACGACGGCCCGTCCTTCCCCAAGTCCATCGATGACTTCGCCGAGATCGGAATCGACGCATACCTCGACGAGAAATCTCGGAAGACACGATCATCTTCCAAATGACCATTCTGCCCAGGACCCTCATCGAAATTCAGAGAATAACTCAAAGGATCGTACTGGAATTTACCCTGCTTCGCCCGATGCTTGTTGAACTGGCGTATGAATGTCTTCCATTTCGGACCGGCGACGAGCTCCGACCATTCTCTGACTTTCTTCAATGCATTCACACTCTTGGCCCACCAACTGGTCTCTTCTTTCTCCGCCGTTGATATGCGTTCCCAGAGGGTAGTGGATGGTATCCAGAAACAACAACACCCTCTTTTATCGAAGGCAATCTCTTGCATTTCGTCGTTGAAATCAGTCTCTTTGCGGGAGAGGTCTGGGTTCTTCTCTGAGGCCATTATTGGGTGGGAAAAGCAGGAACGTTTTGGTTTGCAGAGAGAGATAAGAAAGAAAATAAAAATGGGGTTTCTTCTTAGGGCTTTATAGTTTGCAGGAGAGAAGAAGAATGGGGTTTCCTGCAAAGTGCAAACCCTAACCCTAATCTCTCTCCCTCTCTGAATGCTTGTGTTTTCTCTGTATATTAAGCGGGGTGGAGAAATATAAGGGGTCTTTAACGGTAACATGTGTGACGTATAGTGATAGTAGGCCCCCATTGGCCATTACAAATAAATCCTGGTGGTGATACGGATTATATAAACCGTCAATAATTTGTCACACAGGGCTGGACCAATGAATTCACGCCAGCTGCATGCCTGAGGCAAAAAATCTTGCCCGTACTACGCCTTTATTGGACAAAAAATCATATATTTTTGGTCAGTGTCATTTGTATAGTCCTCTAACATGCAACGTACCACAAGAAACGAGTAATATTATTGAAATATAATTTAAATATTTATTAATAATTATAATTATTAAATTAATAATAAATCTTAATATTGAATTTATTTTATTATCATTTTAATGTTCACAATGCATTAAATACTTAGATTATGCTCCAATAATACTAGTGACCACATATTTTTCAATTTTACCTCTAATTTGTTGGAAGATATCACCTTCAACTTGTACTAGTAGCGAAGATTGAACCACTTGAATAAAAACTTATTGCAAGCATCAACTACTACATTAGTCTTGCCCAATTTATATTTCAAAATCTCTTGTCATCGGAGTTATTTTTACGTAAATTTTTTTTGAACCTGAAATAGTTAGGTTAATCCCTTAATTTAGTATTATGAAATCCTTATAACATTTTACTAGTGATTTCATTCATGTGAAATCCGAGATTTACAATTTTGGAAATTTAATTGGATAGAACTCTATTTGTAACTAAATAAGTCAAAATACTAATTTTTTTTTAATAAAAAAAATAGGTAGTTTAATCAACTATCTATACTCCCATGTATAAGAATCAAATTAGGACAAAAAAACTCTATGCTTTCTAACTAATAGAATTTTAATTTTTCTAATTGTAAAATATGATTTAATTTTCTTTAAAATATAGTACCACACTGAGTGCCACAGCTCATATTGGGTACTTTTTCGTCGTATCAAAATCAGAGTGGTGAGATAAGGCATCAATAGGAGTTATCCATAATATCAAAATTAAGATGACGGACCCCAACACAACCACTACACGACGAAAGGGTGACGGGGAAAGTTACAGGCCCAAATCCTTCGACCCATCTTTCTAATTGTGTGTTTGGTCTGATGAAAAAATTGGAGAGAAGAAAAGTGAGGGAGTAAAAATAGAAGGGAAGAAAAAGGTTTTAATTGTTTGGTATTAATGCTCTGTTTGATAGGGAAGATAAAAAGTAGGAGGGATATATTTTTTATCCTTCAAAGATGAAAAGTAAGAAGGATACACTTTCCTTCCTTTGTGTTTGGTTGAATTGATGGAAAATAAAATGATTATTATTATTTTTTTTTGGTGCTGACTAAAATTAAGGATGACAATAGAATCGAGTCGTGTCGTGTTAAATTCGTGTTAAGTCATTACGAGTTTGTGTCGAATATTAGTCAAACATATATTAACTCATTTAACTAATTGTGTCGTATCGAGTTGACCTATTTATTTTCATATCGAGTTCGAGTCGTGTCATCGTGTTGAGTTGAAAATTTTTACCCTTAGTTAAGATGAAAAAAATATTTTTTTTTAATTAATTTTTTTTTATTTTTTTAAAATATATATACATATTTTACCATTGTATTTTTATATGAAATTAATGTATACATAAAATATATAGACAAATAAAATATATCTCAACACAAATAATTAACGTTTCATCTATTATCCTTCCGATTTTGGAGGGATTGATTTTGGTAAGTTGAAAAGAAAATTAATTCATCCACTTTTTCATCCTTCCTACTTTCCTTTTTTACTAAACATGATGTTTTATTTATCACTCCATCTTTCCATCCTTCCAACTTTTCATCTTTCTATTTTTTCATTGTATCAAACAGAACATAAAGAAAAGTATGAGGGAGTGAAAAGTGGGAGAGGATTTCTATCCTTCCAACCCATCAAATATTTTCAACCCAAATTTAAGCAAAAAGTAGGGGAAAAAAGTGAAAACAAGACAATAATTTTTTAAGTTAACTTTTTTACGCTTTACTTATTGAAGTGAAAAAATATATTTAAGGATAGAATTATAAATTGGCATATATGTTTTTGCTTTCCTTTTATTTTTCATTTAATACCAAACAAATAGAAAATATATCATTCTTACTTTTCACCCCTCGTACCAAACAAAAAAGAAGAAAAATAATTTTTTTTTCTTCAAAGAGTGAAACCGTATTTCTTTTTACTTTTTCTTCCTTCCTATCATTTGAACCAAATGAACCATAAGTTACCGGCACCTCATCTTATGTGGGCATCTTTTCTAATTCATTAAGACACTTGTTTGTATAATTTAAACAGGAAAAAATTGGAGTGAGGTACACTCAATTAGACTTAATCGTAAAAAAATATATAAAAAAAATATTAGATAATTAAGTCCTTAATTTTAATACTTATTTATATCTAAGTACATTATTTAAATTTTACTGATTTTTTTGTGATATTTTTACCCTTCATTAATCCATTTGTATTTAATGCACCACTTTTCTTTGAAAAGTGGTGTGTTAAATATTTTCTAATTTTATGAAAGAACTTTAATATATATATATATATTCACACACACACACACACATATATATATAATATAAAACAAGGTGACTTCAATAAGTCGATCATACGGTCTCAAATTTATTCATCCAATAATCAAGAAATTATAATTTTTTTTTCTTAATATTTCCTCCCCCAAAAGTCAACGATTACGGCTGATCTTGAAACATATTTTACGGTCTCAAATTCATTCATCCAATGGTCAAAAATATATTTCTTCCCTAAAAACATCATATCGTTTATTTATATCATATGTTTAACTATTTAATATTTGATGAATTTGTAGTTTATATAATTTTTATTTCAAATATTATTCATATACAATAGCATACACGTGTTGAAAAAAATTATTATAAATGGGATGAAATTTTTGAGCGCTCGAATTTTATATTTTATCGTGCTTTTATATATGTATGCATGTATATACTTGTTATTAAATCTTTTATTTAAATTTTGAATTATCTTTTAATGCAGCTTGATTCATTCGTATTTTTTTTTTGGAAAGTGATTTTGTTTTCAAATTATATTTAATGTACCTTAATTCAAGCGTTTTTTTTTTGAAAAATGATTTTATTTTTAAATTAATTTAATATCCGAATAATGTAATAGTGTTCAATAGTTTTGTGTATGGGGTAACATATTTAAAATGGAGATGAATTATTTTGAATGAAATTATATGAAACTATATGTTTGACAAAATATAATAGTATAATATTTTGTGTAAATAATTTGTTACACTGTTATTCTTATACTGTTACATTGTTAGTATTACACTGTTATACTTTTATTGTTACACTGTTATTGTTACACATGAATCAAGATGTATTAAATAAATATTTATATGTATTAGCAAACACTTGAATTAAGGTGAATTAAAGATAAAAAATTTTGAATTAAATGACCGTAAAATAGGCATTTATGTCTTTATAACTCAATTTTGTATTTTTTTAAAAAATATTTTATTCTATATATTTTTTTATTAAATAAGTCTAATTAGGTGTACCGTTTTTTAAAGAATCCTATAAACAACTTCACGGTCCAAAATAATTGCGCAGCCAAGCCTAGAAACTTATTCCATTGGGCCCATTTTGCCACCGGCCAACCTACTTCAATTATCATGCCTAATAGGAAACACATAGATTAAGATTCCTTTATATATATAACTTTTAATTTTTTTTCTTGGTAGAAGCTCCATTTGTAGATCATCCACCATTAATGGTCAAAAAAAAAATTAGTCAAGATGCATATAAGTTAACCTAAACAGCTCTTGATTGTTCGTAAAACCAAAAAACAAAAGTCCCATTTGTTACAATAAGTCTTACTTAAATACAATATAAATGTTCCACCCAGAAAAAAATTAAAAAAAAAATATATTCATTTCAAACAAATCACTAGAAAAAGACCGTTGTAGAGAATTGCATTAACGCATAAAAATAATTCTACACTCATTGATTTTTTATCAATTTTTTTTAAATAGATTAATTATATGATTAAATTAGTGAATCCCATTAACTCTCAATAAACATTTAATGATTACCAAAACATCACATAATTTGATGGAAAAAAAAAAAGTTAGTACAAGAACTCAGTGGACACAATTTCATTCAATGCGTAACATTCCAGTATGCCAAAACCTAGTAGACAATAGTCAAATAATTGCATTTTTCTCCTCCTTGCTGGTTAAGTAAAAGTGCTAATTTTTTTTCTTTTTGCTTTTCTATTAAAAATTGCTAAATATAATAAGTAGTCAAGTATTTTGACCAGAATTTATCTTTTTTATTTTTGTTAATCATATGAGTCCAATTCCAATTTGTTTTTTTTTGGAGCTACTAAGCAAAATGTTTGACTAACTACTTTTCGACACATGTTACTATGATATATTTGGCTTTTTATAATTGTCAAAATTGACCTTTTTTTTTAGATTTTTTTTTTTAAATAAAAAAGTAGTTGCATCATGAAAGTAAAAATAAATTTCATCACTATATAATAAAAGAGAACTATTTGAATTTAAGGATGTAGTAACATTGTTCATCGCATGTATACCTCTTGGTGTCTTTCTAAATAACACCAAGCTCCTCTCATGTTTCGGTAATGATAGAGATTGGTTTTGAATTTGGGTGCTCTATGAAGAAACATACTCTGACTAATTACATGAAGGCCTCTTAAATTTCTAATATCAAAGTGATGCTGGAAAAATCTTTATGATAAATAAATTAAAATAGGACTCACACAACGAAAGTAGTGGGACCATGATTTAATTATTTGTTTAGAATCATTAATATTTGAATGAGAAATTATTCTAAAAAATTACTAATTTATATTGGTATAATATACTGAATTTGGAGTTGGATCAAAAATAATTCAAATCGAAACATTGAGTAAAGCAAGCAGCAGAGCCCACAAGTGGTGCTCAAGGCTATTGGTGCCTTGCTTTGCCTTGCCTCTTGGCGCCTTGGTTTGGGGCGCTCCCTCCGGTGGTCGTTTCAACTTGTCTCACGTCGCGGTTTGTTGTCTTTGCCTACCCTTGTTTGATCTAATCGTACATTAAATTAATTTTTAAAATACGTGTCATAAAATTGTTACATTTCTTACCTGTTCAATTTAATTGAATAGGTGTCTCTAGTCCATAAAAGGGCATCCCTACTACCGTTGGAAAATATTGAACATACATGTATATCTCAACTCCAGAATTTTGTATTCTATTTCATCTTTCTCTATATACATATTATTGCATCGTTGTTCTTCTTTGTCAGTTCATGTATAAGGCACAAAGTTGTGTTCGCTGAAATCTTAAAGATTGAAGTGCTACTTTTTAAAAAATATAAATTCATTCTATTATGGGAGACAATTACTTATCAACTTTGAGTATCAAGAAAAAACAAATTTATCTTACGGAGAATGTGGATAAAGGGCTCGAACTTGTTCATTATTTGTTCTGGTTTTCTAGTTCGGATGATTACTACAATTCTTTGTCCATGTGAGGGCATTATTTTATTTTAAACAATAGATATTCTATTTTAGATTTACAACAGTTATTAAGTTTCTTAAATTTAATTATATACACATTATTTTAAATAACAAGTAAAACTCATAAAGTATATGATACTAACACAAACATCCGTCTTAATTCCTTGGCTTAACTCTGTTTGGACCAATTTCATAATTTAACACCGATTTTACCTTTAGATAACATGATGCATCGGTGCTACTGACTCGTGTCCAATTCATGACCGTTGTGTCTCAATTTTCTTTGAGTTAGAGACTGATACTACGATTCTAAACCATTATTCCAATAGATATTATGGTTCTACACTTATTTTTTTAGAGTAAATCGTAAATTGCACCCCGAAAAATCTCTCGAATTTTAATTTACACATTCAAAAATATAAATCTATATTAATGTGTACCAGAAACTAATAGCCGTCAGTTTGTCGTTTAAAATTAAATGAGTAAATTATATTTAAATTTCCTTAAGTTTGTCATTTAATCACTGAACTTTCTCACATTTAGAATATTACACCTACACCCTTTGATATATGTGCGTCTGTAAAACAACTTCCTATCGTTAATATTCATTAATGTAACCGTTAAAAACATGACGTAATCCTAATAAACAATTATAATTTTTATACTACCTTTTATTTTATGGGTCCGTTGTACTCTAAAGATCAAAATCAAGTTTTCCTTTTAAATGTCCAATACAATTCAGATATTATATAATGTTCAAGAGTACTGATATTATATAATGTTCTTTATATCTAATAAATATATCACTTGAAAAGAATTATTTGGATACTCAATTGAGGGAACACTTTTATTCATATTTGAATTCTCAGGAGATGTAGATGTAATATTTCAAATGTGAGGGAGTTTATGTGTAATTTATCCATTTAGTTTTAGACGGCAAATTGAACGACTGTTAGCTTTAAGTGCACATTGATACAAATTTATATATTTGAGGGTTTAAATTAAGATTCGAGAGATCTTTTAGGGTACAATTTGTGTTTAGCCCTTTTTTTAATTGTATTGAACATTATTACTATTTATTTTTGGATATATGTATCGTTTATTTCTCTTTCCATGTTCAGAATGTGTCCCTTTTGGAACAAATGAAATTGATAAGTATATATAATTATATATGTCTTATGGTCAAACAAAAGCCTCTCAATCATGAATTTATTTTATTTTTTTGGTTGATTTGTGAGTATGATATAGTTGTAGCAAATAGAATATATCTACAATATATATTTTGGTAGGTAGAGAAAGTTAGCCTTTTCAAACATACAGAGTTGGTTACAATAATGCTATGCTATTATCCATAAAACACTGTAATAGCATAGCATATCAATGTCAATGGTCATTCATCCAACCATAATTCTTATACTCAAATCGTATCATAAATAAACATCTTTTACATTAAGAATTATCTGTAGTGTACAAGATTGACTATCATTAAGATACAAAACATGTAAGTTGGTCAAATAAACAATTTCGAGGAGAATTCATGAGTTTTTCTTGTGCACATTTTTTCAACTTTAAACTCTCTCTCTCTCTCTCTAATTGTTCAAAATGAATTTTCCTGCCATGCTTTCATAATATGAACACACACACACACACTTCCTATAGGTCTATGAACCGATTATTTTCTATTCCATGTGCTGGTCAAAGAAGCTTACAATCTCCCACTATAAATACACAACATTCCTACCCATTTTCACTACTCAACACTTTCTATCTCTACCAAACAAAACTATTTCTACATTCATGGCCAGACAGCCCAACCATGCCCTTGCCTTGTTAGCTCTCTTCTTGAGCTTCGCCTTGCTTTTAGCTTCCATTCGTGCTCGCCCCCTCGATGGAGAGGAGCATTGTCACCATGTTCCGATAAAGCCACATCCTACCCAAAGGGGGAAGGGTCATTCATACGATGAAGTTCTAGCTCTCCGAGGGATGAAGAATTCTGGTCCAAGTCCGGGGGAGGGGCATAAGTTCGTCAATGATGCACATAATTGACACCATTAATGCAACGTCTGTTTTCATTTTTCGGTATAGTACACAAATCTTAGAATGTAAGACTATTATACATATAAGAACTATCTGTAAAGGATCGAATCGATCATACGTATTAGTTCAGATTGTAAAAGATAGAGATACTATGCAATATGTTATTATTATTATTATTATTTTTTTGACACAAAATTATATGAAATTATATTTGTATTTGCAAGCTATACATTTCTTTTGGGCTTCATCTATCATTATCAATGGTGGAAGGTGCCATTGACAAACAGCTCTTGCTGTCCTGTTAAATGATCCAAAACACCCCTCAAATTTCGGTAATGACATATTTTTCCTTGTTCTAAACTGAGACAGTCCTTAACTAATTAATTACTTAAACATCCCCTAATGTTTCAATAATTATCTAATATCTCCTTCCTGCCCACCTTCAAGTTCACATCTCGCTCGCGTTACCTCCAACGCCGCGGAGTAGTAACGTCATGCGGCACTCATGGTGTCCCATTGATTAATGGGCTGAGGCCTATATAGATTCTACTGCCAAGCCTCTATGGGTTGAGGCCTAGAGGCCCTAATTTTTTGGGCCGCAATACAAACAACTAAAAGATTAGGGCCTCCACAAAGCGGCTTGGGTCTCTAAATGTTAGAGTGACAATTTTTGCCTTTAAATATGAACTTGATGGAGTGAATATGAAAATGAAACGATCTATGAACAAGAATAACGCATGGGTCGAGTTATTACTAGATACAAAAAACCCGCCTAGCTTGTATGCTAGAATTGTAAAAATAAAATGAGCATTTTATTTCTTCCTCTAATATTTTTTTTTTTTGAGCAGCTTCCTCTAATATTGGAGAAATTGTTATAAAACTAAACAATTTTTCATCAATATTACATATTGACAACAATACAACACGAGTCAAAATGATCTGATCATGATGAAACAAGAATATGCTACCACTCAAAATAATATAACACGATTCGATTAACACAAATACTATCCTTTTGATCCATCCTGGCCTACTAACCTTTTGGTTTTTCGTTTATCTACCAAAAGCTCAAGGGGGGCGGTGATCAAAAAGAATCTGTACTTTTTGAATGGCAGCCTAACTTGCCAAACCCTAATGCTGATTCTGTTTCTTATAATTGTTTATTGTTGAAAGTTTGAGAGGAAATTGAACACAAACACACTAATGAAATGAACTCCTTGGTTTTGCGCTGCATTTGCAGTAGTGAATGAATGACCTAATCAATCTATTTTGTTATGCTTTGACTTTATTAACTACTTTTTAAGTTAGTGAAGTGACTCATCTAAATGGGGCACGAACAAGTTCGAAGATGATGAAGCAGTCATTAAGATCAGTAAGCGACGACTCCAACTCCATGGAACTTTAACGATAAGCTATGTGAAGATGTTATTGACAAAAGAGATTGGAGACATGCTGTGATTCAAGAACTAAAGCAATCAATGTCATCATCATAGAATAACAACTTTTTTAAACCTTAGATTGTATGTAATGTAACCTTTTTCAATTGGGAGAGGATGATTATTGATGCCTTGAAATCGACTCCTCTAAAGAGTCGTCCTTCTAATGGGCTATGCTCTGTCCTAATCATTCTTTGAAAAAAGCCCTACAAAGCAGTAAGTAATAGGGGAGTTATGATCCAACTAAAGCTGTTTGGTTCTCTCTTGGTTCAGTTTCAATATCACCCAAATGAGTGCTTTCTATGGTTTGGCTCTGTCTCAGCTCTGTTCCAAGATCATTCAAATGGCCACTTTCTGCTGTTTGGCCCTCTCTCAACTCCATTACATTCTGGCCGCTGTCTGTTGATTGGTGCTCTCTCAACTCGATCGCAATCTCACTGGAACAGCTGCTTTCACCATCGGATACTGAATCCCCCTTCCAAGAATCAGCAGTAGTCCTGCAGATTGGGCAACTGGGTGTCCTCAAAAGCCATGAATCCAGACACTCTGCGTGAAAACTATGCTTGCATAAAGGCAATAACTTACACTTATCGCCGACCCTAAAGTTCTCTAAACACACTGCACAATCAACAGGACTACTTCCCCTAGAATTCGCAATGAAATCGAAGCAAGGTAGCTTTTCTAGATCATTTTGAGACATGCTTGTGGTTCCAAAGCCGCCCCTCCCAACCAGACTACTGTTACCAAGTCCTCTCCTAAAGGCCCTCCTAGCAATACAAACATAAATCAAGATCACAACTCCAACACCCACAAATAACAATATCAAAGATATGGCAATTGCCATGCCCATTAGCTTTGTAGCAAAACCCAACAACTTGTTCATTCGTCAGAAATTTTCCTCCATATATTTATCAACTTCCATTCCCGAAACCACCCAAGACTACCAAGCTCACAAACAACTGATCATTGTTCAAAATCCAAGATCATAGCTAATTTATATGATCATCCATTGCAACAACTTCATGATATAAACAGGCCATCATACGTAAAAGAAGATCAACAACTCAAAAGGTGTCAGTTGAAAAACTTAAGATCAGATCAACTTACATAAACTTCTTGTGGCCCGAGAACTTTGGAGTTGGAGGATTAAAAGAGTTGCTGAAGAATTAAAGTTGCATGAAGTAGGATGGTTCAGATTTCCTGATAGCATAAGCAGAAAGCCTATTGTCATTGAGGAGTACGGAGAAGATTAGATATATGCAGTTTTATCCTTGCAAGCAGAAAAATTGTTTTTGTGACTCGAGTCCGTGACCTCATATCACAATAGAACAACTTTACCACTACGCTAATACCCGCCCTCTCCTTTATTGTGGAAAAGAAATATTTAATGATTTAGTGGGGGATTGGGTTGCCTCTCTCTTATGGAGTGGGTGTGAAGAACCAAATTTACAGCTACATACAAGAAATATGATAGAGATTTCAAACTTTTCTCTTTATCTTTTTGCTATCAATTTTTCTTCCACATTTGGCAGTTGTTTGGAGCATTCCCCTGTACAAGTCATGTCTCCAGACAACTAGATATGCAGCTCTACTTTTTAGTAAATCTCTATTTGCTTCCTTAACTAATTATAAACTGTGTTTAGGACGCATGCTGCATAATATTGTTCATTTTAAGTTAGATTTACATGGCTTTGAATTTGAACACTGAAAAACAAAACTCAACATTTATATATTACTTCACACTCACTTCACAAAACGATGTCATGTTGGGTGGTCAGTGGGATGCAACAAAACTCGAGACAAAAGACCGAAAAATGTGACACCATGAAACATTTAAGGATGGTGATTCAGCACCCACTTTTGTTTGACTAATTAGGGCACCACCAGATGGATCAAACAGCAACCAAATTGCTTCTTTCTATTATCATCATCATCGCCCAAACGACATGATGGGTGTTTTTTTTTTTTTGGGCAACACTAGATCTGTGACCCAAAAAATTAATTGATCTGATCAATCGACCCACGAAAGATAAAGATCCCTGCTAAATGCACCACCTCTTATATTAAGACTTTTCGCACTATATATTTCAAAAGACGTCTCAATTTTTACTTTATACCATGAAAAATTATTTTTTTTACATTATACCTTAAATGTCATAAATTGGTTTCAATGTGACTCTCGCACTAACATTCGTTTCAAATTCCGTTAATATAAACTCACAATTCATATTCTAGTGTAACGTGTACATAAATTTTTAATAAAATTTGAAACGAATGTTAATCTAAGGACTACATTAGAACTAATTTATGACATTTCAGATGTAAAGTAGAAAAAATAATCTTTCGAGAAGTAAAATAAAAATCGAGTCATCTTTCATGGTACAAAGTGCAAAAATCCCACTATGTTAACTCATTATTGTGAAAAATACTATACAGGGATTATTTCGCTCTTTGTGTGAACTTGACTTATGTCCACTCGCAGTTAGTGAGCCCCTTCGTAGAAGCAACATACAATTTCTGTTCCAGAAAAATACCAATGGACTACCCGGAAAGCAATGTCTCAATCATCAGAACAAGAAGGCAACTGAGTTTGTGTTGCCGTTCAAAGAACAATGGAAGTTCGATGAACAAGAAGCATATTTTCTTCGAAGAAGCAAAATGGGTTCCTTTTCCTCATTCCGCTAACCCAAGAGCATTTCTGGACCTAAAGTTCTCTGATACAACAATGGTAGCATCCATGAAAGCCAAACAATGGGAAAAAGTTTACTTTTTTTGCTCTCTCTATAATAAGCCTTCCATATGGATGCTGCAGCAGAACCGTATTAAATATTAGAAGTCCAAGGGGATGACAATTACATGCCAAAAGGCATATCTCAAAAGGGAATTCAAACTCTGAATCAGAACAGCAAAGCAGGGTATAGCTATTTGATTAGGCAGTGGATAACGTGAATATTAAAGATGCAAAATGCCGCCTCAAGGATATCCTCCATCATGCCTCCCATAACAAAGAGAATGGCATCTAACTTTAAACTGTGGACCAAATAAAAAAACTGTTGAACGATTTATAGCTCAATTACATGCTTCAACCGCCTTTCCAATCATCTCAATGTTTCACTGTACTCACAACTAGAAGTAGAAACCAAACCAAAACAATGAAAGAGGAGAAAGAGGATACTTCTCACTAAAGTTCCATATATGCTTTGTATACTCATGCTAGGAACCCAGAGCAAGACCCTCACGAGTAATACTTGTCACGCGAAGGACAGCTTGAGCGCTTAAAGGTGAGAGTTTTGATTGACAGAAGTGCTCCCAAGAACCCCTCTCTGGGTCCTCAGTTACTGTAGGTGGTGTGGATACAAGAGATTTTTCATACACAGTTTGCAGCTCCAACAAGAGAGCACGAGCTGCCTCCCTGGATTCAGGAAGCTGGTCACTAAGCTGGGTTGCAGCTATTTGGATCAACTTGTCAATCCCATATGCTTTGATTCCCTCAACTCCCTGTATGTACAGCACGCAAAATGGCAAATGAATTCTTTAACAAACACAAAAGAAAACCAAAAATAATAACTGATATCAAGTGACAATAACGTATAGGGCCACAATATATACAAAGAACGCATACATTAAGAATCATGTTTCTCACTTATTTTCAGTAGTATTAATGCTAGATTGAGGTTTTGTGAAATAAGAAAAAACTACTTTCCTAGAAAGGAAACAGGAAAATAAATAAATAAATAAGAACAAGGCAAGCTAATTCAATGTTACTAATTGAAAGGATAAAAGATTACAATTCTGTGCAAAACAAATCCCTTAATAATTGAGATGAGGCAAAATGCGCTTTAAAAGATTAAAAAAAGCCACCCTCTCCCTAAATATTCAATAAAGGATAATTCGTGCTGGGCCTGAACTTGGTTTCACGATAAAATCTGTTAAGAGAAAAAGAGTCTCTCAATATCTTTACGGACCAAAGTTTGCAGAGAAAGAAGACACACCTTAGGCCATATAATTTTTCCTTTTGTTTCACAAAAGTAGGCAACAAAAAGGTAGCAACAAGAAGGATAAGCATGCTAAAGACAAACTTGAATTTTTTTCTTCAGAAATAAAGAAAAAACACATGAACCCACCCAGATATGAGAGAATCAATCATTGAGATGAAGAGAAAAGACGTAATTAATGTTAGATTCTTACCAGTCTTGGTACACTTTTACAAAAGCACATTGAAGCTTTCGCTCGAATTCGAGGATTCCTGTTCTTCAGATAAGGTTGCAACTTTGGTAACAACAAATTGGGGGAAACCCAAGTAGTCATAGCTATTAGAGATCTTTCAGCAGCCTCACATACGAATCGTTTGTCTTGTGAAGACTTGAGAAGAAGTTGTACAAGCTAAACCAAAGACAAGTAATCGCATAGAAAGGATGAATATGATATGAGAATGAGTTTAAAGAGTGAAAAAGACATTCATTAAAAAAACATAACCAAAAGCAGCAGTTGAAATTAAAGGGGAAAAAAAAGTTACCACAGGGTCTAGTGAATCAACTATATGATCACCATATGCACTGAAAATGTCTGCAGACGTCATAATTGCGGTTTTACAAACCGCACTTCTGGGATTCTTCAGGGACTTCACAATGAGGGGAATCACTCTTTCCCTGTTAGTCAAAATATGTTGGCCATGAATGGGAAATGAAACAAAATTACCAAATGAAATCAATAAATAACATCCCATGGTTAGGGAAAGATCACATTACAATTGATACTTACAACATGTTGACCATAGCTTCCTTCTGAAATATCGAGAGCCGGCGTACATCATTAAGTGCCTCACACACCAAAATCCAATCTTTGGAGTCTAAGCCAGCTAAGAGTGTCTGAAAGAAAAACATATCATATTACACAGGCAGTTCATTTACCCGAATCTTTTGCAAACATAATCAGCACAGCTGAATATCCTGATATGATATCGAAATAACATACTCTTACCTTGAGACTCTGTTCCACATCTTCTACGTCATTCAAGTCCCCAGATTCAATGTATTCCACTTCTGAATTTCCCACCTCGACGCCAGAGTTCGGAGTTTCACATCCATTGATAAGAGTTTTAACCAAACAAGAAGTTTCTTTTCTTTGAATTTCTTCAAGAGTTTCAGTAGTATGCTCCACATGAGGCTTGGAAAAGCTCCCATTAATGGAGTTCTGAGTCTTCCTCTCACACTCAGGCAGGATATTGAGATCTCTAAGAGCTTCACCAGACATCATTATTTGGGGTTTCTAAGCCTTAAACAGAAAATGGATATATTCAATACTGATAGTCTTTGTAAACTGTAAAACAAAATTGAATAAGAATTCATCTACATTAGGACAAAAGTATACAGAAGCAGAGTCAGCATGCCTAAATTAACAAGGAAAAGGACCACATCAACGTTTAAAGTCGGTTGTTCTGTATATTACACAACATACAATAACAGATCAATCCATCCAGTTGCAGAACTCTGAAGTAATAAGATATTCTGCAAAAGATAAACACATTTTATGTCTTTTAATAGGCATAGACGAGCTGGCAGGATCTGAATGCAGGTTCATCCAACTGAAACAATTAGTTCCATTGCTAAGTGGTACTGGCCGGTAAAATCACACAACTTTCATTGGTTGAATTCTGCACAATCTCCACAATAAAAGCCCAGATTCAAACCCTAAAGCTGCCCAGTTTCCCATGAAGATAGATTAAAGAGTCATAGTAGCAACATTTTTGCACTATGCGAATGATAGCAACAAGGTCAATAGTGCCAATGAGCACCGATTGAACACCACACGCAGACTATATAGATCACACTTCAATGCTACAACAATTCGCTGACAGAACCACAACGTATTCAACAAAACAGATTGAAATTAGATCTACAGTTCCGCGACCACCAGCATCAACTAATAAACAGCGAATAGAATGCGTCCAAAGCCTATAACAATAAAATGCAAAACTCATTGAAGTACAAGATCCCGTTCCACACTCCATTGGCAGATCGTAACATTTGAGTTCAAACAATGAATTTCAAATTCATTCCAACCATTCCATCAGCAGATTTTAAGTTCACATTAGTCAAAACTAGTTTCGTAATGTTACATACAATAACAGAGAGAGAGAGGGAGAGAGAGAAAGATTACCAGAGAAGATAAAGCGAAGAAGTCGGTTAAGCAGTGAAGAAAATGCTTGGACTCTTCTCTCTAAAAATATGAACAGATTTGATAGTGTAAATGTGTGTGTATACGAGAACACTGTAGAGAGAGAAAAACCGGCGAAAATCGCAGTCTTATGAGACCTGGGCCGGCAAGGACGGCAAATTTACATGTGAGCGAGCGCCGAGAGAGAAGCCAATGACATAATAAATTCGCGATTTTTAGTTCCGAACTACCCCTGTTTTTGAAATAAAATATCGAAACTGTCACTGCCATTAATTTGAAGTTGGGTTAATTGCATTAAAAGTCTATAAAGATTGAAATTTGTCTCATTTTAGTTCATAATGTTTCAATTACATCATTTTAATATCTGAATTATTTGATATTTATATAATAAAGTAGTTTACAATTCAAATCTCAAAAGATAAACAAAATAATTTTTACTATTCGTGGTTGAGATCACTTTAAATTTTACTTTCAAGTTAATCTAACGGCTAATATTAACACACTAAATTTAATAAAAAAATAGGGTTCTAAAGGTGTGTTTGAAGTGATTTTTTTAAAGTATTTTTAGAAATTATTTCTCATAAATATTTTTTTTTTTAAAATAGTATTTGAAACCGCCTCACTACTACCTCTACCACCACCACCCCTACCACCAGTATCGCCACCACCATCATTACCGCCGCCGCCATCACCACTGTCGCCGTCATTACTACCACTACTACCGTCGCCGCCACCATCCCCATCGTCGTCGTCGCCACCACCACCACCACCGCCCCCACCGTCATCGTCATCGTCATTGCCACCGCCTCCGCCACCATCATTGTCGTTATCACCATCACCGCCATCGCCACCACCACTATTACCGCCGCCGCCACCGCCAACACAGTCATTGCCACTCACTGCTACCATCACCGTCTCCTACTACCACCACTGCAACCCACCAACTCTCACCCCCATTACAAGCCGATGCTTAAATTCTTTTATCTCTTTTCTATGTTTGTGATTTGATTTTGGATATAAATACAAATATGTTTTTTATTTACCATTTTTTATTATTCTGTGTCTTCAGAAACAGACAATAACTAGTTTATATAATAAAGTAGTTTACAATTCAAATTTTAAAATATAAACAAAATGACTTTTACTATTCGCAGTTGAGATTGCTTTAAATTTTATTTTAAAATTAATCTAACGGCTAATATGAACACCTTAAATTTAATAAAAAAAAATAGGCCCCTAAGGATATGTTTGGAGTAATTTTTTAAAAGTACTTTTAAAAATTATTTCTCATAAATACTTTAAAAAAAAATAATGTTTGAAATCGCTCCACCATCGCCAGCACCACCACCGCCACCACCACCACAGTCACCACCACCACCGTAGACGTTGTCGTCGCCACCACAACTGCCACCATCGCCGTCGTCGTCGTTGTCGTCACCCCTGCCGCCACCGCTGTCGGTCGCCACCTCCTTCGCCACCATCATCGTCGCCACCACGGTCATTGTCGCCTACTACATCCATTATTGTCTTCTACCACCACCACTGTTGTCCATCACCTCTCACTCCTAATACAAATTGATTCTTAAATTTATTTATCGTTTTTCTATATTTGTTATTTGATTTTGGATATAAATACAAATATATTTATTATTTACCATTTTTTATTACTTTGTGCCTTCAATCACAGGCAATAACTAGTATTTCTATATAGTCCCACAAGCAAATAACGTCTAAATTGTTAACAATTTTTTATCATAAACTTATTACATAATACTTAAATATGGACCAAAAATAATTTTGATAATTCTTAAACAAAATTTAAGTAGCTCTTGATAAAAATGTGTAATATGGGTAGCTTTTAACCAAATTTGAGATAATTCATGATTAAAACTGAGTAATTTTGGTAGCTATTTAACCAAAATTTGAGTAAAAATTTAATCAAGAGTTATTCAAATTATTTTTTTATCCATATTTAAATATCACATGACAAGTTTATGATAAAAAATTATTAGTAATTTGGGCGTTGCCTGTTTGAAGGACTATATAGAAATATATTCAATACTCCAAAAATAAAAATGATGTAATTAAAATATTAAAAACTAAAATGAGACAAATTTTATACTTTGGGGATCTATTGCGCAATTAAGCCTTTAAAGTTTAAGAAAGTTGAGACTTCAGATTCTTAAGTTGACACCCCACCCTCAATAACCCAAGGAGAAGCAATTTGGAATTGATGCTTTAGCATTTGAAGATGATTGTAAGTGGAATTATTAATTTATTTAATTATTGTTTATTTTTGAAGATCAGATAATCAAGGTCGAGGTCGTTCACCTGAAGATGCCACTCGAGTCATAATCATCAGCGATCGACACATTATTTTTGTTGTCTAAATCTCACTTTGTTCCATGGTTTGGATTTGAATCACTACACTTAATTCTAAACTTGCAAATAAAAGTTTCTTCATGATTTTTTTTTTTTTTGTTAAAGTTTTGAATTATAAATTAAACGTATTTTAATATTGAGTTCAAGTTTAATATAAAAATAAATACACCATTGCCCCACGATGCAATTTGGTCAGCCAGTGGTGAGGGTAGCTAAGTCTCTTTTCCTCTCTGTGCACACTACGCCGACGCAAAAGTGATTCCGTTGGGCACTGGTGCTTCATAAAACTAAGTTCCTAGCACTCTGTCAAACAAAAAAAAAACACGCTATATGGATTGAATGAATGATGTAGCTCGGAGAAGATGATTGGGTACGTTACATATAAAGGATTATGTAAAAATTTCAAAATTATGTAATAATAATTACGAATTATTCAGAAAAATGAAAATTTTACACGTATCCAAAGAATCATGTCTTTTCAACTTGAACAGCTCAACCATGATGAAGTGGGTTGTCTTGTAGCAAGCTGCCAGCGATGATTAAGAATGTGGACAACTCCTAAGACATAAGCTCGTGGATGTCAGTTAGCTCGTGGATGTCAATTAACAAGTGTATGTATTAGGATGATATTTCTTTAGGGTTGATGGCGATGGGGATACCATGGTACTTGAAACAATGCTAACCGATTGGAATGCTTTGTACTGTTTTCCAGTCCAACACTACTATTTAGAATTATTGTATGTATTACACATGTATAATAGTACCCAATATTTGAGATTTTTGTCATTGCAATTTAAAAAGAGTTAAATATGCGCAATCTGGGGAGAGACTGTCTTACACATGAATAATGCCCAGGTGAAATAGTCGACCAAAACACTGCAATTTATACACCAACATTGCCCATCAACAGGACCATTCTGACAGACCATTTACCACCCTTATTCGGTTTCCATATTAATTGCCAAGAAACGTACCAGGACCATTATGAGATTTTTAGTTTAGAGAGAGAGAGACAATAGTAAATAGGAATTACAAAGGGGACTCTTAAGACAGTGAGCCATATTTGACACAATAAAATTCAGGTTACTAATTTAAGACCAGACCCACCAGCCCAGTGTCTCTCCTTCCCCACGGTGTTGCTCTTCCGTTGCAACAAATGCATTGGAGAAGTAACTCCGGCCATCATCACTACCATCATCGTCTTCTGATTGGATCCCTTCAAGTGGTGTTGCAACACATCCAGGGTAGTATTCACTAGGGAGGTATGAATCACAACCGTCCACAAGCTGTGGACCATTCTCGTCCACCACTGCGCTTTCTCCGCTGTCCATGCTAAGCCGATCCTCGACCTTCATGGTGAACTGCATGGCTGGAACATGGGCTGCATCCACCGGAAGCGGGTCTTCTTTTGCTTGCAACTTCTCAGTCAAGGAAACAACCTGCCGTCTAGCATAAATAACTATATGCTCCAACGTAACACAAACAATCTATAATATAAATCGGGACAAATTTCAATAAATCCATCCAACAAACGCCACTTAACATTCTTCTCAAATCTATCATTTCTCACTACGTTACAACCATCAAACACGGGTTATCCTTGTGTGTGTGTGTGTATATATATATAATCAAAGACTCAGAATCGCTAATATACCTCAGATTTGAGCTTTTGGTTCTCTTTGAGAATGTTGTCGTAGTCTGATGCAAGGGAATCATAGGAGCATTTAAGTTGATCATAATCCCTTTCAAGCTGTTTAGTCTTCCACCGCGCACGGCGGTTCTGGAACCACACAGCCACTTGTCTTTGTTGCAGACCAAGCTTCTTGGCCAGCTGGGTCTTGCGCTCCGGCTCCAATTTGTTATCTTCCTCAAAGCTCTTCTCCAGCATGTGCACCTTAATATACCAACCAATTCTGACTAATAGTGTTTTTGAACTGAAAAAAACCTTTCGATATCGTAATCGCTTTCATGTTTGAGGTGGTTGACATTTAATCTTACATAACTCAAAGGTTTTCGTTATATATCTTGATGAACCAAAAAATTAACCAGATTGTTACTTCTTGTCATGAGCCTAACGTTGTCGAATGTAAACTTTCCTAAGCTTTCTTAGACATCCAAATCTCATACTCAATTGAAAAAGTAGTTACTAGAATCCCTTTTTGGATTTTCATTTTCGCAAATATACAAGGGTGTATGATGTTAACCAAAAAAAAAATGCAAATAGAGATAGAGAGTGCACGGAGAAGTGGAGATAACTACCAAGGTAACCGCCGAGTAACGACCCAATTATGAAAAGATCCATTTATCTACGTGAGCGGAACTTGATCTAGGTCGAATCACCCACCATCAATTAACATGGGTGAAGATCAAAAAAGAAGGAATTATGGTTCCAGGTTGTGGTACGGTATCAATCATCATCAACTCAGATAGCTTTGAAATATATTGGTTGCAGCGTCCCGACACGATGTCATGGAATACGACATAAAAAAAAATATTAAACATAACACGAAATTCTTGTGATACCGCCGTATTGCAAAATCATATCAGCCGACTTAGTGACTTTGCAACTTGGGATTGACCGAGTCGTGGGAGATTTGAAGTTTATACGTGTAACAATATCTTTTGCCGAGTCGTCCGACTCGATGGACTCATATCGATATTGGATACTTTGAACCACGGAAGGAATGTGACGCTGATCCTATAACTTGGAAGAAAAGAAGTAGTGGTCATGTAAATATTGGTAGATATTTTAGTTTATCTCAAAGGAATCTAATTTAAAGGTGTATTGTGATACCTTGGATCCAAAATAAAATCAAGCGCCGTGTTAAGTGGGTAAGTCCATCACTGACCTGCTCATGAGTTAGACGACGCTTCTTTTCCGGCAACTGTTCATCGTAATATTCTTCGTCAAACAGTTCGTCCGGCGAGCTGAAAAAAGGTCTCCTCTTTGAGGTTTCCTCCATATTCATCACTGATCTTCCTCCTATAAGTTTCACCAGGAAAACAACCTTCTTCCCTCAATTCAACCTTAAGGATACATTATTGACTGTTTTGAAACACTGAACTTAAAAAAGAACCCTTGATTAAATAAACGTAGTACATCTATGTCACCATAGTTGACCTGAATTGTTTGTTTTGGGAAAGAAAGAAAACAAAATTCTTTGGTCATATATAAATAAGTACAAAGCATAAGAATGGATCACCTCGAAAAACGTTACCACCATCTCCGAGGAACACCATGCTACCTTGCCACGATGGGTCGAAGATAATATGGCTGGAATTCATACTTCAGTCTGTCGGATCTCTCCGGCGATGTGGGTGACCGTCGATATATGAAGTAATATATGTAGATAGATTATTCCGGTCAAGTGAAAACTCTTAAATAGAGCTTAAGAACTTGTATGAATACGTCTACGGTTTGGTACTTTTGATTTTAGAAGATCATGAGCTTGTGACGGAAGAAGCTAGTACTCCAGAGCAACATCGCCGGAGTCTCCAACGGACAGATACAAAATCCCATCATTTGAGCCAACTTACCCAGCTCCGCCAAACTCTCCCTCCGGCCGTGTCCCTTGAAGGGTCAAATAGGATCGGCCGATTTGATTCGCCGGGCAGCGCAGGGAGTGCCTGAGTTGATGGAGGAGAGCCCAAGGCCCTTTTTATATTTGCGCCCTTGCAGCTGAATTGACGCATAAATCCCTTGAAGACTTACCTTCACAAAGTCATCAAGGCAGGGTTTTTCGTAATTTGAACTTCGTGCCGGGGGGGGGGGACTACAGAGGCTGGAAGATGGGAGTTCACTAACGTGCGCCGGATGTGACTGGGTGTTCGATTGGATCTGGGCCATTGGGTCAAAATTAAATTTAGGAGTATGAATTTGAGCTATAAAAAAAAAGTCAATTTAATAAATAAATTGAATTAATATTTCGCATTTATAACATATTAAATATTTTTTTTTTAGATATTAACTCAAATACGATCCAAAACAAAATAATGCACAAGTATTACGGCATGAGTTGACATCCCGGGGCCAAATTATGAGGGAAAGAAAAAGAGTAAATAATTATGATGCTTTCTGGTAAGGATTGTCAGATATCAAGAGATGATATGTATTTGAATTGTAATTTTTTGAATTATATTTAAATTGTGTAGTATTATTCTAAATCACAAACATTTGCGATTAGAATCAAAGTTGTTCCTTTTTTTTAAGTGGTGAGAAGAAAAGAAAACAAATAAGAACAAAGTTTATTTTTATTAATGCTACAAAATAATGTTCATACAAATGGTTATTTTAAAACATGAGTCAACTTTCTTGAAATATATAAAAAAAAACATTGCCTTAAATTAGTTTGAGTTGTAGGGCTTAATTGAATTTGATGGATCCACCTCAGGTGTGGCCCAGCTTTAGTAATGGGCCTGGCCCAAAAAGGCCCAACTCAAATAATAGGACTAGCCCAAACAAGATTCAGTTCAAGTAATAGGCTCACCCTAGACAAAGTTCAATGGGCCCGACCCATATAAAATCCAACTCGACTCACTACGGTGTCAAGGGAGCACAATCAGCCATGTCATCCTGAGACCCAGTTTGTAATTGATAAAGAGATCTCCACACAACTATCCTGTTTGTTGTAATAATAGTGTCACCTCTACTAAATTAGTCTATCTGTTACGGATGTGGTGCCTTAATTTGTTAAAAGACACCTATAAATTATAAGTTTTGTCTATACACGGGGGGCATCTTACATCTTATTTCACACTTGACTCACCTAAGTTCTCATTGCTTTCACCTGAGCTCCCCACACTCCTACAGTAACAAAACACCCGCTAGTAAAAGTTCTTTAAAGTCGTATAAGTCACTCTAATCGAACTACTCTATCTCTGTGTGTTGTTTGTGTTAAGTTTTATATTATATTTACTATATTTTATTAATCATACTAATCACTAAACAGATAATGCTTAAAACCGATTTGTACATCATCAAAATCATAACAGTGACACTAGAAAATTACATCTCAAAAACTTACAAATTCCAAATACACATACACAATAGACTTTATGTAGCTTGAATGGCTTTAATGTCAAGGTTAGTGGCTTCTTAGGGAAGAGGAGCTGTACAATAAAAGAGATAGAACCGTTTTTCTTGTTCAATTTCTTCTTTGCTAAGGTAAGATACCAAATGGAGACATCTTTTGACTGAAAATGGATTCGAGTTAGGGGGAGGGGGGGTTGAGCTTTAGAGAAAGGTGCTCTTAAAAGCCTAATGGGGATGGGAAAAGCTATTTAATGGAGAAAGCACCTGAAGAGGAACAATGACTCAGATATATTTGTGTGTGTGTGTGTGTGTGTGTGGTGTGGATGACAAGACCAAGCGTGAGTCAAAAGTGTAAGCATAAGCCATAAGTGGGACTAGTGCAGTGCAATACATACTATACAGACATAAGCCCGGCCCTATAACAAAAGAGAAGCCTGTTAATCCAGGGCGACTTTCCAGATTGTGTGTTACTCCCAATCTACATATATCAAATTGCATCCCAGTTGTAATGGTTCGGGTTGTAATCTCGTCGTTCACCTCTTTGTAATTATTATTGATTTTGTTCTCAACCCTATACCACTTAAGAATGCAAATGAATGGATCCAAATCAACCGCTAAACTCCTTAATGGATTCAAACATATTCCCTCTCGATTAATTTGTTTTTTCCATTGAACTTGACTTTGCTTGTTTGATTAATAAAATAAAGTTGAAGTTGAACTAGAATTTAGATTGATATTTAAGATCAAGTCTTATACATTTATAATATAAGACATGACAAACTTTAATAAATTCATCTGACGGTCTCAAATAGATTCATCAAATAGCCAACAACATCTCTCTCAAAACAATTCACATTGCACCATGACTTTAGGCACCGATTACTCCTAATATATATATATCTATATAATAAAATAATTTACAATTCAAATTTCAAAAGATAAACAAAATGACTTTTGTTATTCGCGTTTGAGATCGCTTTAAATTTTACTTTAAAGTTAATCTAATGACTAATATTAACACTCTAAAGTTAATAGAAAAAATAGACTCCTGAAGGTGTATTCGGAGTGACTTTTTAAAAGTACTTCTAAAAATTATTTCTCATAAGTACTTTTTAAAAAAAAATAGTGTTTAAAACCGTCTCACCACTACCTCTACTATCACCACTGCCACTGCCACTGCCACCACCACCGTCGTCACGCCGTCACCACCACTACCACCATCGTCGCCACAACCACAACCGTCTTCGTCGCCGCCACAACCACCCCACCAACATCACCATTGCCACTCCCCACCACCACCACAACCATCATCGTCTCCTACCACCACCACTATCGTCCATCACCTCTTACCCCCATTACAACTCATACTTAAATTCATTTATCTCTCCTCTATATTAATGATTTGATTTTGGATATGAATACAAATATATTTATCGTTTATCATTTTTTATTATTCTGTATCTTCAGGTACAGATAATAACTAGTATATATATATATGATCAAACTCTACCCAATTTTAACCCGAATGACTTTCAACTATTCATGAACAAGTCAATTTTTTTGTAATCCTAATCTTTTTTTTCTCTATTCACAACCCCTTAATCTATTATTCAAAGAGGGGTCGAGCTTAGGAGAGTCCTTGTTATTTATATTATGTTCATATGAAAATTTATGTCTTTAATAATCGTCTCGTGCCGGATAGGTTCTTGAGGGGTGATAGTTGACTTGACACCCTTAATTGAGCTTGACCCACCTTCCCCTTGGGCAAGGCCAGGTGGTCACCTCTTGGGTGTGCAATCTCCCAGTTGTATTATCTTATCCAGAGCGTGAGGATGACTTCGTAACATGATACTCCAGTACGTTCTTGCTTCCTCACAAAACCTTATCCCCTCTCTTCTCTATGTAATTTTTATATCTATTTCTATACAGTTCTTTTTCTTTTCCACTGCATTTCATCCCAAACCCTAATGTCACCAATCTGGTGTTGATTCTTTAAAAACTAACATCAATGGCTGCCATTATCTCCTGCCGCTACAACTACTGTTCCTCTCCACAACCTATTAAAGCCTCCAAACCCATCAACCCTAATAAACTATCCACCAATTTCATAAGCTTTGCTCATACTCTGAATGATCGGCGATTCCGCCCAAAATGTTCTTGCAAAGACCCTCGCGGAGTTCAGACCCCTAGTGATAAGCAGGCAAGCTCTTTACTCTAAAGTTAATTATATAAATGTTATTATGTATTTATTGGAATTTCTGTGCAATTGTTTGGTTTTCTGTTTTAGGTTGATTAAAAACTATAGAATTTCAACTGTAGTGATCTGGGTATGTTGTAATGTCTATATAGTGTGGCCAGAAAGATTGGATCTTTTCGTTAAAAGAATGTGCGATTTCTATGGCATTGGCGGTGGGGTTAATAGCTGGAGTACCAACATTGGGTTGGCCTAATTATTCCAATGCTGCAAATGCTCCTCCAGTATTGCCCGATTTGTCCGTGTTAATTTCTGGGCCGCCGATTAAGGATCCGGGAACTTTGTTGAGGAATGCTTTGCCCATTGACAATAAAGCTATTAGGGAGGTTCAAAAGCCACTTGAGGATATCACTGACAGTCTCAAGGTTGTAGGTCTCAAGGCGCTTGATTCCGTAGAGAGAGTGAGAAACTTTCTCTTTTACTGTTTTTGGAGCTTTACTTTTTAATGGAGATGGGTTTTGTGCATATAGTTTGAAGGGATCTATCAAAATGACAATCTGAAATTTATTTGTTTGTGGGTTGTAGAATGTGAGGCAGGCTTCTCGTGCGGTTAAACAAGGGAGGAGTTTGATTGTCTCGGGAATGGCAAAATCAAAGGTGGATCATGGGATCGAATTGCTCAACAAGCTGGAGGCTGGGTTGGATGAGCTTCAACAAATTGTGGAGGATAAGAATCGAGATGCAGTTGCACCTAAACAGAAGGAGCTGCTTAATTATGTCGGAGGGTGAGTACCGAAAAGCATCCGTTATTGCTTCAATTATGTGCATATTGGTACAATGACATGCACAAATTCTAAGGAAAGAACACTTACCAAGAAATTAAAATCTGAAGAAAGACTGAAATGTGTGTTGGGTATATAATCATTATTTGGGTCTTGGAGTGAATGAAACTGTCAATTCACTTTCCTGGAAAAAAACATAATGCTGATTCTTGTGACAGTATGTCTGACATGTTGATCCTAAGCTTCAATCAAATGTCGCTGTAGATTAGATATCAATTGCGATACTCTAAAAATTTGTGTTAGACCTTTTCTTGAAGGTATTTTATACCGGACCGTGGAATATGATACCCAAGAGAAAGTATAAAAAGATACAATAACTGCTGCTCCAAAGAAATAATAATTAGGTAAGGTTGAAATGTTCTCTTGAATACATTTCAGGAAAATTTTGTGGGTGGGTGGGTTGGGTGGAGATATGCTAATAACTACATGTCAACGGTTCTATACCATGGATTGGATGCCTACAGAGCATACATACGATTGTGTCAAATGTTTAGCTTTTGGGTACTGCAATGCAAACTGGTAACAAAGGATAGTTTGACATTAAGCTGGCCCGGTCTGCTCTATCCTACAACATATAGTCAAGGATAACCATGGGGCAGAATCTGCAAGACTATCATTGAGGTTTGTCCAGCTCAGTGACCACATAGATCGACATGATCATCTTGCTTGGTAATATCATCACACATTTGCAATTACTCAAACTCCCATTCTATATTGTAACTGTAATTATCATGCTTGATCTCTTATTGCTCTTGAGTGACAAGGTTCAAATGGATTTTGGTGTCCACAAATGATTTGAAGTATGGATCATGGCTCCCTGAAAAGGAAATGAATGTTACAATGGGTGTTGGTGCCTGAACAAGATATTCTATATATCAAAATATCCTAAAAAAAGAGTGAGCTTGTTTTGGACGTTAATTCTTGTCATGATGGGGAGCGGATTGGGAATGAAAATGCTTTAAATTTCTGAACTCTTTCAACATAAAGCTGGGAAGAACTTGTGGAAGTTAATCATAGTAAAATATGCTATTCTCATTTAAACTCTTGTCATTGACTGCAGCTGAAATCTTCCTGGGGCATTGGGTTTCTGCAGTGTTGAAGAGGACATGGTGGATGGCTTCCCTTATGAAGTGCCTGAAGAATATCAAAGTATGCCTCTCCTGAAGGGAAGAGCAACTGTGGATATGAAGGTCAAGGTGAAGGACAACCCTAACTTGGATGAGTGCACATTCCGTATTGTTCTGGATGGTTACAATGCCCCAGTAACCGCTGGAAATTTTATAGATCTTGTAGAAAGGCATTTTTATGATGGAATGGAGATCCAGAGAGGTAAATAAATTGTATAAAACCAGGATTAGGAGTACTAATTTATAGATAATATGAGTGACAGTTCATCGAATTTGCTTATAGCTGATCAATCTTCAGTATGGACTCGTATATAGTTTCACTTCCACTGGACTTAGATTTCTATTGATTCTTTTGCAGCGGATGGCTTTGTAGTCCAAACAGGAGACCCTGAAGGTCCTGCTGAGGGATTTATTGATCCCAGTAAAGAGAAAACCCGTACAATACCTTTGGAAATTATGGTGGATGGAGAAAAAGCACCTTTCTATGGGGAAACCTTGGAAGTAAGTTTCTCAACAGGATTCGTCATAACATTATATGTATGTGTATGTGTTTTTTTTTTTTTTTTTGGGGGGAGGGGGGGGGTTGGGATGTGCTTGACACTGCTTTGCTCCTACAAAATTGGTTATAACTTGCATGCTTGGACAGGAGCTTGGTCTATACAAGGCTCAAACAAAGCTTCCATTTAATGCATTCGGAACAATGGCCATGGCCCGAGATGTGAGAGTTCTAAACCAGGCTATACTGAAATTATGTACATTGACTATTTACTATGATTTATTGGCTTAACAGACAGGCTACTGAGTTTTTTTTCTAACCATCTAATTTGTAATCAACAACAGGAGTTTGAGAACAATTCTGCATCAAGTCAGGTCTTTTGGCTATTGAAAGAAAGTGAACTCACTCCTAGTAATGCCAATATATTGGACGGTCGGTATGCAGTGTTCGGATTTGTGACGGAAAACCAGGACTACCTTGCAGATCTCAAGGTTGGAGATGTCATAGAGTCAATGCAAGTGGTATCTGGCTTGGATAATCTTGTCAACCCGAGCTACAAGATTGCTGGCTAGATGTCCTCATTTTGGTATTAAACTAAAGAAATTGAGTCTGCTTCGAAAGTTTCTGAGAAATCTATCGGTCGGAAGGACAGCCTGTTTAGTTTTTCTCTGATGATTCTGAATTGTTCTATTTTGAGAGTTCTCACTGTGCGCTTT